GAGCTGGAGGGGATCTTAGGGATTTTCATCTCACCATATTATAAATCCATAAATGGAGGCTGAGAGAAGCTAAGTTAGGGACTGATAAGGCCATTTACTCAGGTAACTTAGGGCCATTGGCCAGTCTGGAACCCAATTCTCCTAACATCAATCCCACTGTACTACACTGACATACACACAATTCAATAGCTGACTAAGACACTTTCAGTGAGTTGCCCCTCACTGGAAACCCTTAACTGGAGACTAAGTGGTATCTTGACTTCCCAGTTAAAGATATTATAGAAAAGATTCCTGGGTCATCATCCATACTTTGAGATAGATGTGTGAAATTGGAGATGCAAAATTAGGCCAAATCATAAGAATCAGGGACTTTAATCTCCTTACAGAGATTTGTCCTAATGAGGCATTTTGCCAGGGTGAAGGTGAGATTTTTAAATAGGACAAAGAAATATTCCTAGAACAGGCAGTTCATGAGCTCATGGAGAATGAAAACATTCTGGGCTTGGTTCTTACTAATGAATAGCAGCTGATCTAGGAGGGACAATCAGTGAATCACTAATAGTCATCACAACAAACAGTATTAAATTCACTATTCTAGTGGGAGAGCAATAGAAAATGGGTGAGCTGTACATTACAGCTAAGCTCCCTCAGCATCGAATCTGGCATAAATCTCAATGGCTGGAAATAGAACAGGGAGCAAGACAGGACTCCAGCCTCAGTGGGCCTAGCTTGGCTGCTCTGTGCTAGAGCAGAAACCCCAAAAGCCTATCACACTGTTCTTCAGTTTTAAGAGCATTATTACAAAATGTGGGCATTAATTAGGAAACTATTGAGAGGCAGAATTTAGAAAGCCAATAACTCACAAGAGGCTTGGAACTATTGAAAAACACCTGATTCAAAATGAAAAAAAAAATGCATGCCAACAATTAAGATAAACAAGCTAATAAATAAACAATTTATTTGTTGAGAACCACTCCCACACAATACCCTCCCACCTCACCTTTACACCCTTACCCAGCCAACTGGAAGAATCATAGTGCTTATTTTTGGGGCAAACTAGATTGGGGGAGTCCAGACTTGTGATTTAGTTGGTGGTCTGAACCCCAAGTATGTAAAGTCCCTCCATTAATGCACATGGGGAACCCCTCTCTGAATTAGTCTTAGAGAGTTGCCTGATGATACTGGGAGGCAGCCAACTTGCTCAGTCACACACTACAATATGTTGCAGTCAGCACTTGAGCTTGGGTTAGCCCGACTTCATGGCCAGCCCTCTATTCATTCTACCACGTTGTCTCTCCTTAGAAGCAAGACAGATTAAAAAAAAATCCTACTTGTTGTGCTTGTCTCCAGAATGCTAAAAACTAGGCATGGAAGTTCCAGAGATGGATGGAAGTTACTGGGAGGCAAATTTTGACTCACAATAGGTTAAAAAAATCCTTCTTAGTAATTAAAACTGTCCAAAAGTGAAATGGTAGCAATGAGTTTCTTCTCACTGGATGCTCTTAAGCAGGGTCTGAACGACCTTCCACCCTCCTATCTGAGGATGCTGTAGAAAGAATTTCTTCCCTTCCCTCACCCCACCCAAGGAAATTGGGATTAAGTGACTGGCCAAGGTCACACAGCTATTAAGTGTCTGAGGCCAGATTTGAACTCAGGAAAATGAGTCTTCCTGACTCCAGGTCCAGCACTCTGTGCACTATGGCACCTCCTAGCTGCCCATTCCTCAAACAGTTCCATCCTCTATAAGATCGCTCTTCTCTCTGAACTCTTCTACTTCTCATTTATAATTTTCTCAGACACGTCCTTTTACTTGTTTATTTTTTTTAATCTTTGGAAATGTATGGCCTATCTCCCAAGTAGACTATTGGTGCTTTGAAGGGAAGAGCTTCATTTCAAACCCAAAGTTTGAACATTGACATTACAATACCCAATACCCAATACCCAATACGTAACACTCCCCGGTTCTTATCTATACATTTTAGTGTCCACCTACCTCATAGCATAATTGTGAGACTCAAATGAGACTATATAGAAAATACTTTGCAAAGTTTAAAGTACTACATAACCTTTGCTATCGTTATTAGTCACTGCATAGTGCTAATTGCTTGGGATACAATGATAGGAAATGGAAATGAATACCCAATAATGAAAGCAGAGAAGGTCTACAGAAGGGTAGCCTAGATCAATGGAAAGTTTGGAGAGGGTAGAGGGAGTCTACTATATGAGGCTAGACTAAAAAGGTTAGGACTTTTGAGCTGGGAGAGACAGAGATTGAGAAAGGAATAGGTAATGATTTGCTCGGTCCCCTTTCTTTTCAGTCTTCAAGTGTCTAAATCACTCAATCCCCACTTGTGGGTTCAGCTCTGCCCCAGACTCAAGGACCAAGTCTGGCCCTGGGCAAGGGAAATTTAAGGAGAAATAAGTTCAACACCAATTGATTCTGGTAGTTAGCCCTACTTCTGGTCCTAGTAAAAGGGTTCCTGTCTTGTTTCCTATGACTAGACACAAGCATTGTGTTCCAAATCTATTAGCTATATTCCTATCTTATTATCTTCCTTCCTTTCATCCCAAAGCTGAGCTTTCTTGGCATCCTTCCATTACCTGAACTCTTCTAGGGGTAGGCTCCTGCCTCCCCCTGATCCTCAGTCCCTTCAAGGTCAGGAGTCTAGCCACTGAACACTAATTTCTGTGGCTGTTCCTTCCAGACCACTCCTGTATCAATTTGTTTCTTCATCATAAAATGGAGAGAATGATGCCCGTAGTATTTAGCTCACAGGGTTATTATGAAGGTTTCAAACCCAAAGTTACTAAAAAAAATACTGTTTTTCATTATTATTCCTGCCTGGACTCTGTTGCCTGCTGCCAATTTCCCACTAGTTCCCCGTGGAGACCCCCACTCTGTGCTGTATTCTACCTAACCACCTACCAAGCAAAGTTGTCAGTCCTGGATCTCCCTGACATCATCTGCCAGTCCTCCTGGTGTAACCAAAGGGGTGCCTTCCAAAGAACCCCAATTGGCCCTGTTTCTTGCTGTCTGGGAAAAGTAAACCATACCCCACTATCACTTGCTGCTGGTACCTTCTCCATCCTTTGCCCCTGAAAGTCATTCCCAGCTTCTAGTACCTTCCTCTCTAAGATCACCTTCTATCTACTCCGTAAGGAGCATGTATTCTTTACATGTTATTTCCACCATTAGAATGGGAGCTTTCTGCGGCAGCTAGGTGGTTCCATGGATACGGCACCGGCCCTGGAATCGAGAGGACCTGAGTTCCAATCCAGCCTCAGACACCATAACACTTACCAGCTGTGTGACTCTGGGCAAGTCACTTAACCCCAATTGCCTTGCCAGAGAGAGAGAGAGAGAGAGAGAGAGAGAGAGAGAGAGAGAGAGAGAGAGAGAGAGAGAGAGAGAATGGGAGCTTTCCAAGGTCAAGGGCTGTTTTTGCATTTCTTTGTATCCCCAGTGCTTGGCACATGACAAGCACTTAATCAATGCTTGTTGACTTGACATAATCTTTCCAGAAGCCAGTTATATTCTAGTTATACTGATAGGCCATGACTGAAATCTTGAAAACCATTGAATGGTGGTGTTAAAGTAAAATAAACTATTAAACTAAATTCCCAAATAATAACTTGAGGCAGCACCCTTTGTTTTGTTTTGTTTTGAATTTTTAATATTTTGTCTTTTCCTTAATTATGTGTAAAAACAACTTAATATTCACTTAAAATTTTTTTGGGTTCCAAATTTCCACACTCCCCCCTCATTGAGAAGGCAAGCAATTTGATATAGATTATAAATGTGTAGTCACACAAAACATATTTCCATGTGATTCATGTTGTGAAAGAAAATACAGATTAAAAAAAGAAAAAGAAAATGCTGCAATCTGCATTCAGATTCCATCACTTCTTTCTCTGGAGATGGAGCGCATTTTTCATCACAAGTACTTTGGAATCATCTTGGATCACTATATTGCTGAGAAGAGCTAAGTCACACCTGATAATTATACAATATTGCTGTTACCGTATACAATGTTCTCCTTGTTCTGTTCATTTAATTTTGCATCAGTTCACATAAGTTTTTCCAGGTTTTTCAAAGAGCATCCTGCTTGTCATTTCTTAAAGTATAATAGTATTACATCACAATCATACACAACAGCTTGTTCAGACATTCCACAATTAATGGCCATCAGAGGGGCACCCTTTGAGCAAGGCATAGGACAAACAAAAAGAAGGGTTGTTCATACAGAAAACATTTATGAAACTGAATATACCAACAGATAGGATTGGTCAGAAACCTATACTCAGTAATTGTTTAAAGAAGTTGTCTGAACAAGAAAGGCTCCTGTGTAGCTGGAACATACATCTATTTTAAGGTTGATATCAAGAAGGACAATGATAACTTACATGAGGTATCCTTCAAACCTCTATTAGTAAAAATGCCTAGGTTAGATGGACCACTCATTCAACTATAATTTGTTAAGCTCCTACTATGTAGCAGGTACTGTGTCAAAGTGCTTGGGATACAAAGGCAGACACAAAAAACAAACCCTGCCCTCAGGGAGTTTTCATTTTACTGACCATGGCTCTGAAAGCAATTTCAAAGTTCCAAAGCTATTGGCTAGAATTAGTTTATTAAACTTGCCAATAACCTGAAGAAATTTAAACACAGGAGACAGAACTTTTTGATAAAGAGAATGGTTAAAATGAAGGCCCCATAGAAAACTGCCTTGTACGATAGTCCTGGAAATACCTTCTGATGGATGTCTGGAGAGAAAGTAATAATAATAATAATAATAACAATAACAATAATAATAATAATAATAATAATAAATAACAACTCAATTTAAGGTTTGCAAAACATTTTACAAATATTATTTCATTTTTATCCTCACAACAATCCTGGGAGGAAGATCCTATTATAATCCCCCATTTCATAGATGAGGAAACTGAGGCAGAGAGAGATCAAGTGACTTGCCCAGAGTCACATAGCTAGTCAGTACCTGAGGCCGGTTTTGGTCTCCTTGACTCTAGGCCCAATATTGTACCCACTGTGCCACCCAGCAGCCAGGTACCAAAAACAAGGAGGGCCACCTAAAATAGAGAATAGAGAGAAACAAGGACAACTTATACAATTTTACCCAGGTGCAGCCCTGACTAAACCCACTCCTTTTTTTTCTGTTCCTCTAACTCTTCCTTTCAAGTTTATTATAAATCTACCAGAATGTTTTGCTTCTTCTTAGGCTTTCCCAAGTTCTCCTTTAGCCAGAATTCCATTAAGCCAGCCAACATTTTGCTTTCACTGACATGATTCCTATCTCCAATATCATTATTACTGCTGAAACCACAGAGCTACTTTTGCTTTAGGCATTCTCCGGGACTGGGGGTGAGGATCAGCAGAAACACCTGCTAGCTAGCAGCTTGCTAGCAGCAGACCAGGAGTTCTGTTCTCCCCTAGCCTCTCCTTGCTGGCTCACAGAATGCCTCCTCTCTCACCTTTTCCTTCTGAATTTGCACTCAAGAGAATAGCAAATATTCAGAATAAGGTGTATCCTGAAACATACTCCTTTCTCCCTGGGTAGACCTGCTCTACTAAACTTCCTCCCATGTCCATAACTATAGCATTGTCTGTACCTTCTCACTCTCTCCCTCACCTCCCACATCCAATCAGTTGTTATATCAGGCTGTTTTTGCTTCAGCAATATCTTTGGCATTCAGGCCCTCATCACCTCTCACCTAGATTCTTGTAAGAGCCTCCTAATTCGTTCCCTTGCCTCAAAGATCTCTACTCTGCGTTCTCATACGTGAGCTTTTACCTTATCTTTGCTGGAACAGACCTCTTCATCACTTTATGCTACCATTTGCAAAACATGCCATCTGCACTATGGCTATCATCCTTATTCCCCTACACACACACACACACACACACACACACACACACACACACACACACACACACACACACACACACACACATACAAAATGCAAAGTAGATTCTGAAGATGTGGACTTCCACAAAGTGCTACATTAGGTAAGAGGAAGCAAATCTTTTTAATACCCCTAGAGATTTCCCACAGAAACTTCAGAAACTTCTGTTTTCAGGCAACTGTCATCTGACAGCTGCTTAATACGATAACAGCATGAAGTATTTTTTTTTAATAGATCTGATCGCTCACTAAACACACCACCAGGTAAGTCAGAGTATTTCCTTCAGTATTTCATTCAGCTCATGGAGCTCTCTCTCCTATCTGCCTCCAGTCCCAGAAGTTCACAATTACCCTGCATGGAAATAGTTAAATTACATGTAGTCTCATGATGCCATCTTCTGGTGTCATTGACCAGCTGTGGAGAGAGACAGAATACCTGGCTAAGACTAGAGTGCAGACTAGATATCTTTTGGGTTTAATTTAGGAAACTCTTCCCCCCCCATCCCCTACTCCCAAGAGGGGCAATGTCTCACAAATTGAGCAAATATTCTTGAGGCTTCAAGTAACCTGGGGAATCATCCAGAGTAAATTCACAGGCACACAATCACAATTCTGAAGCAACCACATGGGTTTCAATATTGAATGCAAATTGCCCTATCTTAATGACAGACAATTTCCAACCTGTCATCTCTTAATGAGTCTCTCTGATCACAGAAGCAAGTTGGTGTGCACTTAGGGCCCCATTGTTTTTTCTTTTTAGAAGCAATACAGGATTTCTTGAAGAGTCTGTGTCTTTATTCTGTAATGACACCTGTAGTATCTACCTCATAGGTTTATTGAGAGGCTCAAATAAGATAATGTGTATAAAGTTCAAATCTTAAGTGCTCTGTAAGTGACAGTCATTCTCTTTATCCAATCGAAAATATGCAGTGGTGGGTAGTGATCAGTTTCTCTCTGGAGGAAAGCTTGCCTGATTTTCTTCCTGTGTTAAAATATTAAAAATGCCTGGGATGCTTTCAGCATTACCTCCCACCCCACCACATCTTATTCTCTGCCTATTTGAATTCTTCTCCATTCTTTAAAACCTAGCTCTAATGTCATTTCTACTATGCAGTCTTCCTTGATTCTCAAGTTATGTGGGATTCCTTCTCTTTTTGTCCCCTGGCACTTAAGGTCATAGGATCATATCTATGATTCTAAGTGTTCATGGACCAGGAAGCCAACTAGTCCAACCTTTTCATTTTTACAAACAAGGGAACAAAGGCCAAGAGAAATAAAGTGGCTTAAACCTGGTCACACAGGTAGTAAATGGCAGAGCTGGGATTTGAACCCAAGTCCACTGATTCCAAAACCAATGTACTTTCCTATATAATCCACAGTTGAGTACCATATTCCATTGTGTACTACAATCATTGGCATGTATGTCATCTTCCATATTGGATTCTAAGCTTCCTGAGGGCAGAGACCATCCTTTGTATATCTTTCTATCCCTAGAACCTACACAGAGTAAGTGCTTAATAAATATTTGTTGTCATTATTGAAAAAACTTTCATAGAATCAAATTCATCTTTTCAAAAAAAATTAAAGTAGAAAAGCATAATGTGACTGTTGGACTTTGTGTCAATAATGTACCAAATATGTTAAGTTAAATCTCATCTCTATCCAATAAGCTGATCTAAACAATTGTGAGACTTACTATTGTGAAATAAATCAAAATGGAGTAAAATACGCTCACAGCACCTGAGGCACAGTTCTTGTGTTGGGTTGGTGATTCTGATAGGAATACCTGAGAGGCTTTCCTCCTCTGTATCAGTGGTTCTTAACCATTTTTTTGTCATGGATTCCTTTGGCAGTCTTTTGAATCCCAGAGACTTCTTCTCAAAATAATGTTTTTAAATAATTGAAGGACATGTTAAGTTTCAGCTAGAGTTGGTGAAAATTAAGATGTATCCCACCCCAAAAGAAAATATTTATCCACAGACCTCCTGGGGATGGTCTTTCAATTGTGGTTTAAGAATTCCTGCTGTACACATTCTCCTTTGGCTATATCATCCACTCCCACACTTCCATTGTCATCTCTATGCAGATAGTTGCCATATTTACATGACCAGCCCCCATATCTCCCTTGAGTTCTGGTCCCACATCTGATTGTCTGCTGATCATACTTCCACCTGAATGTTCCATCTAAACCTCAAGCTTAACACATCCAAGGTTGAACTTACATTCTTTTCACACCTGTGACTCCTTTCAAAATCCTTGTTTTTATTGATGGCATAACCCTTTTCCAAGTGACCCAGGCTGGCAACCATGAAGTCATCTTTGATTCTTCCCTCACCTTCATTCCCCATACTCAAATCAATTACCAAGTCATGCTAATTCACAATAGCTTTCCCACCTATCCATTCCTTTCTATGCACACTGTTAACCACTCTAGTTCAGGCTTTCATCATCTCTTGCCTAGACTACATTAATAGCTTCCTAAGAGGTTTTCCTGACTCTAGCCTCTTCCTTCTCCAACTATCAGAGTAATCTTCCTAATGCATTGTTCTGATCATGTTGTTCCCTTGCTTCAAAATCTTCTATAACTCCCTAGGGCATGCAGCCAAAGGGCAAAATACAAACTTCCAGCCCTGGAATTTAAATAAATCAATTTATCTTTTCAGCCTTATTTCACATTATCCTCCCCCCATTTACATTTCAGTTAGACTGAACTTTTGAGTGGTCCCAGACCTCACCCTGCTCTCTCTTTCTTGTGGCACAGCTGTGTTGGCTGGCATTCTTGCCTGGAGAATCCTCCCTTCTTTAAGACCCAGTTTGTGTGCTGCCTCTCCAAGAAAGCCTGCCCTTATCCTTCTAGTTGAAAGTAATCACTCTCTTAGCTTCCTCTAAAGCATTTTTTTTCCTGAAATTTTCTCCTTACATCATGAATGTGTCATGTTATACATTCTGCATATCTCCTATTAATAAAAATAGCAAACATTTATATAGCACCTTAAGGTTTAAAAAGTCTTTTAAATATGTTATCTCATTTGATCATTAAATGTTACATCATTTAGCCCTAGGAGTTAGGTGCTGTTATTATCCCTATTTTATAGATCAGGAAACTGAGGCAGATACAGGTTAAGTGACTTGCCAGGATCACACAGCTAGTAAGTGTTTGAGGTCAGATTTGAACTTAGACTGACTCTAAGCCCAACAGTTTATCCACTGCTCTATCCAGCTGCCAGAACTATTAGGATGTTACACAATGAGATCCCTGAGGGCAGGAGTCTGTGTTATCATCGTTGTATTCCAGTACCAAACACAATGCCTTGCACATAGTAGATACTTAGTAAGTATTCACTTAATTAAATTGAGTAAGAGATATTAATTTAGGCAATCTGCTCCAAAATAGTTTGACCAGAGAAAGTGAAATTGTACCTTTAAAGTTACAATAAGCTATCAGTATTCATTTATTTCTTCGTGTCAATCAGTATATTGTCTCTTTTTTCAAGAGGAAATTTTAATGGGAGCAGTTGGGGGGGGAAGATCATTCAGCCTTTGGAATTAGAGAAAGAAAGGTGTAGAATGAGAAGGCTATGGATACAGAGGACAAATTTTGCAGACTTCACAATTGTCTAAGAATAAATTCTTTTGTAGAGCTTCATTTCTCCCGGGGAAGAAAAATGTTTTAAAAGTGTCTAGCGAAAGAGCAAAATATATGAGAGGTCACGGTCCTGGATCTTGTTTCTTGCTGAGTGGTGGACATGCTCAGAACCTTGGTTTAGTCTCTGTGCTTCCAACTACCTACCTTTGAGAAGGTACCATCCCTATAAAGCTCCTAGGAACCAGGCAGGCAATAGAGTCAGTCTGACTTCCTAGTTTGATGAAGAAAGGCAATTATGTAAATCAGTCATTTTATGCTAACTGGAAACTATTATGTACATATTGCCACCCAGAAGAAAAGCTACCTGGGATCATAGATTTATAGCTTGATTTCTAAGACATTTTAGCCTAACCCCTTACAGATGGGGAAATTGAGGCCCAGAGGCCTCATGAAATAACCAAAGTCTTGCTGGTAGGAAGTAGCAGATCGTGGATTTGAACCCAGGTCTTTCGACTCCAAATCCAGCACAATTTGCACTATGACATCATCATGGAAAAGTTATTTCTGAGAAGAAAAACAGTTACTGAAAATTCCTTTCCTTGGTAACTGACACCCCTTTGACATAAGACTCAGAAAGATTTGCAACGTTTTCTGACAAATACGGTGAAATCCAAAGCTCATCCCAGTGATCAGTAATTCTTTCTCCAGCCCTTTGATGTATTTGATGAATGGCAGAGACTGGACTAGAGAAGGGCAAACTGTTGGGGCATAGGAACAAGTGCCTTCAATGTTGCTGGGCCCCAGCCCACTGAAGGCTTGCTCCAGTTTCAGGGTGTTCTTGTGAGGGCGCCAATTCAAAGAACAGCATGTTAAATACAGTACTTTTCAAGGTTAGACCTTTTTTTTTTTGGCGACTTCATCCTTATAAATTAACAAGAAAGGCTCTTTGGCCCTGGATGACAGAGCCCTGTTCCTGTAGTCAGTGGGCGGGGAAAGCACTTATTCAGCTAATGGTGGTGGTACAGAGCTGCCAAGGCTCCCTAGGGTCTAATCCAAAGCCACCTGGCTAATGGAAATCCTGCTGCTGTAACAGTCAGCCTGTCCTGTCAGGGCGGAGCTGAGCAGCGGAGCTGTCCGAAGTCGGGAGGATCAGCATTCAAAAGCATTTTTTATTTACTGCAACGTATTGGAGACCATACTAAGTTTGGAGGTCAGTACCTTTAGGTAGGAGGGAGGAAGTGATCAAATTTCTTAATGGGGTGGGAGGTGGGGGGCAGTGGAGAGGGAACATTCATTTCTCTGGGAAAGATAGAATTATTTTAAATAGAACAAATTAGTTAATACACCTTTAAAAACCATTTT